TATTTTAAAAAAAATAAATGATCTTTACTTCAGAATCTAATGCAAATAAATTATCTAAATAATAACTTGTTTATACTAATAGAAATAACTTAGAAGTGAAAACTTAGAGGAATGATATAATTATAAATATTTTTATCATCTGAATTCCTTTAAAACATAGATTAGGTGCTTTATATAATGCATTCATCACAACAAATATTTTGGAATCAGAATATTTATTAGGTTTAGTATAAGTAATTTACTAAAATATAATATAGATAAATTTATTTATAATCTTGAAATGGGTTCTATGACTATATATTTTTTTGTACTTATTCTATCAACCTGCAAATTTCAAATTAATGTAAATATCTTTTCAGCTAGTATATAAGTTATATTATTATTTTTCCTTCTTTTAATTCTCTGATAGCTTTTACCGATAATAACGATAATAAATGAGTTCTAGAAAAACTACATAATGAAATATCAGAAATATCAGGAATATTTTTTCAAATTGAACTTTTCTCACAATATATATATTGAATATCACAGATTAATCTAATTATCATTTATAATCTACATATCACAACATATTTGCTATTGCAACCAAGTTGTTAAAGATCACAATCTCATTAATAAAATAAGTATTGAAAATAGTATTGCTATCTGAAACCAAAATTCGTAATTTAAAATAATTAAAACTAGTTATTAGCTAAAACTACTAAAACTAGTTTTGTTTAACTGAAACTAATTTTTAGTAGTTTAGAATAGCATCCTTAATCAAAGAGCTTATACCAGAAATATTTGAGCTTTTATAAGATAAAGAAAAGGTATCAGAATCATAATTAAATAAAAAAAAGGCATTTGCATTAATCATCTCATAAAGAACTGATTAAACTAAAAGTCAAGTAACTCTTAAAGAAAGAGGATTAGAAGTTGAAAAAGAGAATCCATACCAAATATCTGATATCATCTTAAAAGAAAAGACTATTAAAAAAATAGCTCAATATATTGTATAAGATAATCTTAATAAAAAAAAAGTAAGTTATAGCAAAAGCCTTATAAATTTCAAATTTTAGAATGTGGTGCAGCAATGTAGTCTTAAGATGACACATTTTTAATTATTAAAGGAAGAATCAAAAATGTGTTGAAAAAGGCTACTGGATTTACAATTGTACTCTTTGATACAATAAAGAGAGATATAATGTGGGATTTTGTTGAATTTCAAAGTCATATCCAAAAATATATAGCAGAAACTCTAGAAAAAGTATTATTTTCTTTGGACCTTTGGACTTCTGTAGTAGTTAAAGCATACATAAGTGTTATAATTCACTTCATTGATAAATCATAGAATCTTCGAGAGCTTATACTTGACTTTAATAAGTTAGAAGGCATTTATTCTAGTGAACATATAGCTAAAAAGTTAATCGATATATTAGATACATACAAGATTTTTACAAAAGTTTGTGGAACTATTAACATATATTTGTTTTGATTTTGTATCATAAATAGAAATTATACATATAATTAATTTTATAGATTAATTGTATTACAACTGATAATGCTTCTAATAATGACACGAAATTTATATGGCTTAGCTTATAGATTACTTTTTCAGTTAAAAATAATCACATTTGATATTTTATTCATGTTTTGAACCTTGCAGTTCAATATGCTTTAAAAGAACTTAAATGTGAAATAGATCGAATCAGAAATATTATTATTAAATGTTGTTCTTCTCCTCAATGACGACAAAAATTCAAAGAAATTTCAAATCTTAACGGCATTGAAAATCTGTCTTCAATTTTAGAGGTTTCGACTCATTGAATTTTTACATATGAAATGATTAAACACGCTTTGGATTTGAAAGTGTTAGAACTTTACTTAAAATTTAAATTATTAAAGATTTATATATAATTAATTAAAGATTTTATATAATTTGAATTTCATTCATCAGAGATATTAGCTTAACTCAATCAGATTGGAAATTTCTTGAGGAAATTATAATTTTTTTAAAGCGATTTGCAAGAATTTCAACTGAAATGTGTATATCGACTTATTCTACTATAAGTTTAATTTATCCCATATATAATCATTTAATGGACCATGTTAAAAAAATAATAAAGAATGGAAAATCTTCAAAATCTTTAGTTATAGCTGCAAAGGTGGTATGGAATAAGTTTAGTGAGTGAATATTATAATAAAACTTCTGAATCAATACATTATATTTCTACGATTATTGATCCATAATGGAAGCTTAAATATTTTCGAAACTGGATAGAAAATGATGATGATATATTTATAGAAAAGCAAAAAATTTGTAAGTAAATTAATTTTACTATAGAAATTGGATAAATTATAAATATTAAAAAAAAAATTATTATTAAAATTAGATTTGTAGGTAAATTTGATGAGTAGCGTTTTATTTACTTTTCAACTTTGATACCTGCTATTTTTGATGATAATGAGGATAGCAATGATGAAAATTCTTTATTTCCTATTTTTAAACGCTTTCGAAATAATAATGAACATAATGAACTATTTAATTATCTTGATAGTTCACCAAAACCAAGAACTATAAATGTATTGGAATGGTGAAAAAATCACAAAATTAATTATTTAACATTATCTATGATAGCACGTGATTATTTATCAATACCGTCTACTAGTGTGTTTGTAAAACAATTATTTAGTCAAAGTGGCAATGTAATTATGCCAGAATGTAATAGACTTGAAAGTGATACAATTTGTATGACAATATGTCTTAAAGTTAGCTAAAGTCTGATATGTTTTAATTTTTTTTATGTATAAATTTTTTGTATAATTTGAAAAATAATAATGGTTAATAATAATAATAAAAAAGAGTATTAGAATAATAGTGCTTTTTCTTTTTGAAAAAAAATATAAAGTTCTAATTGTATAAATGTTATTAAATATAAAAATAAAAATATAAAAAATTTTTATAATGTGAATTTAATTAATTTTTTTAAATTGAATGCCCGGTTGGTTTGGTTAGAGAAGGTAATATGCCTTTGATGAAGGCTAGGTAGCATTTACTTTATTTTTTATTTTATGTGCCTATTTTTGGGATTTTCTTTAATTTATATTATGAAAATGTTTTTTTAATAAATAAATGCTTTACCGCATCTTAAAAAAAAATATATATATATTTAATCATTTTGATTCAGTTTGGTTGATTTGATTTGATTTGATTCATCAAATATTTGATTCAATTCAATTTTGTGAAACCCTATCAATTACTTTATAATTAATTTTGTTTAATTCTCTTTAAATAAATTTTCTTTTAATGGGAGTGTATAGGATAATTTTAAAATCTATGAAAAATAGATCTTTAACAATTTAAAAAGAAATACTACAACAAAATTATATATTCTAATGTTAATTCTTCAATTTTATTAAATGATTGTTTTAATAAAGTTTGTGTTTTATTAATTAATTTTCTTTTTTTAGTATTAATGGAAGAAGCAGAGTAAAAATTAAAAGGTTCTTTAGAATTAGAATATTTTTGAAGGTATTTTTATATAACATAATTAGATAATTTATTGCAATGGTTAACAATATGATTTTTCATTTTTGCACATTCTTCTTGATATAAAGAAAAACCACAAAATTTACAAGTAGCATGAACAGGATCTTACTTATTATTAAGATAGATTACTGAGCAAAATTCAACCTTTATAAGTAATTTTACCTTACTCTAAAATTTCCTTTACTAATTAATTTTATCAAAATTTCAGTTATCTTTTTAAATTTATATATAATCTATTATATAATTAATAAATTTAAAATCAAAAAAAGTTTATTATATTAATTTTTTATTTAATTTTTATTTATTTGAATTATTTATAGATTAATTTATATTTGTAAAAAAGCATATAAATGATTTTTCATATTAAAAAAATTAAAGAAATAAAAAATGAATGATCTCAGTAAAATATCACTCCATTTTTCATGAAACAACTATTATTAGATTCCTCACAATTAGAAGGATCCAATGAGCCATTATTCATTGATTTCTGATCGCCAATATCTAAATAATTATCAGCTGAAATTATAATTCAATACATTCTACTTTGTTCTGGATTTTGATATTCAATTGCGATTATATCAAGATTGAATAATTCGAAATCGACGAATTTTAGCACATTGGATCCATCTAGTCATGAAGAATCGAATGGTAGTTATTTTTATGAGAAACGGAGCTCTATTGATTGAGATCGTGTATTTTTAATTTTTTAATTTTTTGTATAAAAAATCATGTGACATTTGGCCATTTTGGCCAATTGGCCAATTGGCCAAAATATTAACCTTGGCCATGGCAAATGCCATCACTGCCCTAAGGTGTTGACATAGTAAAAATGAAAACAGAGAGACGTGATTCGGGATGACAAATAACAGCAATATAACATATAAAGCACGTGACTCCGGTGATGATCACCAACGGTAATTTTCTATTTATTAATTATTAAAATTAAACCAAGTTTTTAATCAAATTTATAAAACCTAAGAATCAAAGGTTTATAACATATGTTAGCAATGTAAAATCTAAATTTAAATTCCCCTCATTAAACTTTATATGTAAAGGTACTTTCAAATCACCTTTTCTAAATTAGATACTAAATATTAATATTATCGTTATAGTGAATACTTCGGGTCGTGTAACATTAAAACATTAACTTATACAGCATTGTTTTTTTAAGGGAGAATCATTAACCTAGGTAGTAATTTGCGATTTTCGTAATTTTCATTTCATTTATCATAAGATCACGATTAATTTTGCTATTCTTGAGTTCAAATATATCTGTAAATGGTATAAAGCTTTCTAAAAATACAAAACCTAAAAATTAATTAATCTTCATTTGATATGCGCATGTTAAACAAAAAATTAGCACTACCGTTTTCGTTCTCATGAATTAAACACATGACCTTTTCTCTCCCTCTTCAACATTCTACAACCTTATATTCTTGTCCTATGAAATTATTTTCATATACATAATAGGTTAGTCATATTCCAAAGGATATTTATAACAATATGTTTCCGAATTTTTAACAAATAATCTCGAATCATTGGACCAAGCACCACATGTACCCTGTATATTCTTCATAATAGATTGGAAGTCTAAAATTTTTAATTAAAATTAACCCATTGACTTTTTTTGGGATCAGTTTACAGTATCTCCACTAAATAATTTATTATTTCATTAAAAGAAAAGTTCCCGTTAAATCTGCGGACGATAGTCTCTATAAAACTAACCACATCAAGGTTTTAAATAGACCAAAAAATTGTATATTAAAAAATTTCCTGTCACATGATTTTCGCATTGCAAAAAGGTAAACCATACTTGGGCAACTGGACTTATCAAGCAACGCGTGATGTACATTTTTAGCACTTTGATGTAAGCCTGATGATATTCGGTACTGGAAAGTCTCGAGGTACCATCATCAATTATATTCCAAAATCCTAATCCCTATAATGAAATAGATTTCGTCAAATTAGAAAATGAATAAATATGACGGAATGAAACTTTCAAAATATTTCCGGAAATTAATATTGTTCCATTCGTGGAAATGCCTACCGACTTATCACCTACGATCTTTGTCATACATTTAAACATCCGTTTTGTAATAGTGATGATCACAAGACAACTGTAATGAACTCATCATATGAGTCCCTTTCATTTTTAAATATCCCAGATTTGTCTTGATCATATGACACCAATTTGTCTTGGTTGGATAAATCCTAACGTCATTTATCATGGATTTCCTATTCCATAGTAGACATGGGTTAAATTTATTTTAAATGTTTATGTTGCCTTTCTATCCCTACATAAATAAATTTTAATGATTTTAAACCATCATTGGTGAATACTAGTAATGGAAAAAATTCTCATAAAAGGAGGATCGAGGTACCTTATTGTTCCAAAGTTTCAGGTTCCATCTTCACTCCCTGTTAAATTTTTATTTTCTTTGCAATATATGACTGCAATTACATTCTTCTTCGAATGTTCTTTCAACATAATTAACTTAGAGATTAATTAAGGTAAGAAAGATTAATATACGTGTCACAGCGTTAGGCATAATGCTGCGGCACATGGGAAATTAATTATCATTACTGGAAACAGGATATGCGAGTCCAATTCGTATTAAATGACACCATAGGATTATTGCCTATTAACCAAAACGATATAGATAAAAACGAAAATGAAAAATAAAAAAAAAAATTGAAATGCAAATAACTTGTTTAACGCAAATGTATTTAAAGAGGATGTGGATGTCATTTTCACCTGCCGAGTCCAAGATTTTCTAATTGGGTGGTAAAGCCAATCGGTTCACTTGCCTGCATATAAAAAAAAAAAAAATTTGAAATAAAGAAAACAAAAAAAAAATTATTAGTCGCCCGATGTCGATCCTTGTTGAATCACACGACATTGTTTCAAGAATGATTAATATGCATAATAATAATTATAAAATAAAAAATGATATGTATAAGTATATATAAAATTGATAACCGAATATGGAATATTTAAAGTAGTGGGATTGTTTATAGAGATAAGTCGAAAAGGGATGTAATTGAAACGAATTGTATTGTTTATGAACGTACCGATCCAAAATGATCCATTGTGCGCAAACAGGGACCTCCCATAACTTTACATTTTAATCATTATCGCTTATGGCTAAAATAACTTTTGGTAAACCGGATACCTTTTTTCTTTGCAATTTGAATTAATCTGTCATTGACGTGAATTCACCTTTTCAGAAGGTTAGAAGAATGATTCCTTTCCATGAGAGGGTTGGAACCTTCCCAAAAGAAAAGATGGAAACAATTCATTCGTAGTTTTAGGAATACCAAGACCTCTGAACGGTGAGTTATGTCGTGATACAAAGATGGAGTTGGCCCACCCTCGATGAAGAATAGGATTGATCTAATGATAACGATTCCGTTTAAATTGGTCAAGAATACTTTGTTCAGGAAGGTGATGATACCTTGACCAAAGCTCCTTTTTGTCCATATTAAGAACGCGTGGCTAATTTTTTCATCTTTTTTTTTTTAATGAAGAATTTTACCATTTTAGGGGAGAAAAAAAATTTTCTCATACAGGCAATAATATGATGACAAATAATACGATATCAATGACACGACATCTGATGGGAATCAGTTACGTCAATTATAAATATTTATATATCAATAATAATGTTGTATATTAAAAAAAAAGAATAGTTATACATCATCATGATGGGTTTTTCAATAATATAATATTATATTATTGAATGAAAACCAAGTTTGCTATTTTTGATGCGGTTTTTTCACAGCGCATAATTCAAATTCAAATACATTGATCAAGGATCGACGCATCAGCTTCACATAAAGATTCACGTGAAAGAAATTATAGTCATGCTACGCCACCCAATATAGCCACTTATTCCAAAGTGTTTAAAAAAGAGAAGGGAAAAAAGAAAAAAATAATCTTTTGAGTCTTTTAGGGGGTGGAATGATTGATTGTAACAACCTAAATCTTTATTAGAATGATTGTGATTGCAAAGCACTCCACACAAAGAAAACGATTTTACATAACACAAAACAAGTAGCAGATGATGTTACATACATACACTTAGCCCGCCAAAAAAAATTTTTTTCCCCTTCAACCCATTTCTCTTTTTAGCAAATGAAATAACCGAAATTAACATTAAGAATACGCCTCAATTCAGTTTCTTTGGACTAATCGTGTGGGATATTTTTATGCTTCCTTGAAAGTCAATTCATTCAACGATCATACATGATAATGAAAAAAGCGTCAGAAATGTGTAATCAATAAAACTGCAATAAGAGTTGAATGAGCCACTGAAAAATGAAGGGTGATTTGAATCGACCAAATTTGGGTCGAATCCCGTTCACGAATAGAGCACGAATCAAATTGAAGGTGAAAACATAATAAAAATCAAACCTTATTTCTTTATAGAGGTACTCAATCACAATGAGAAGAAGGTCGCACAGGTCAACTAGCAACAACAATAATTATTATCATTTCTCCAATTTTTTAATACCAAAATGAACTATAAGACCAGAAATAGCAGTATAAAAGTTGTGTCTCATTTATAAAACTAGGGAGGTTAGATCAAAACCGGATTTGGAAAATTGCCTGGTTCGAATCGTCTCCAGGTTTGAGGTTAGTGGCTAATTACGTGATACGATCCAGGCACACAGAAAATTTATGAGATTTCACAAAGATTATAATAAACTTTTCGATTGACAAGGGATATTGCCGGAAACAATGAGTGAACTTTGATGCTTTGAATCCGACTAAGTTAACAGATGTTAAAATGGCATCTGACCACAAACAAACACACAAACATTTTTTTAGTTAGCTTCCATTGTTTTCATTGTTTGGCCTTCACGGTTCAGATTTAATGTGATATATCAAAAAATATATATACTATATAATAAATATATTATGATATATATTGTATTTGCTTATCTAATTATAATGCATTGTATATATAATACATTTTTTTCATGGGGTGCACCATAAATATTATTTTATTTTACTTTCTATTTTTCATTTTGCTTTCGGTTGTTTTTTTTCGGCGTTTTCGCCAATCATTACTTTCGTTGGTGATAGCATGACATGAATTGATATTACTTATCTGTTATTTTAAATTATTTTTATTATTATAAAGATTAATTGTTATATAAATTCTTTTTTTTATTTATTTATTTATTTTTATTTTTATTTTTTTTTTCTTGCAGTAGTAAAACTAATTCTAATAAACAAAAAAAAATATTAATATTCTAAACTTATTAAAAATATACACACTAAACGCCTACTGACCTCAAATTGAAACTTAATAATACCATATTAGGCTATAGTATACTTACTTTCAACTTAGAAACCCTATATTTCACGCCAACTTTGCAAGTTTTTTTTTTATTTTCTCCGAATTTTCCATCCACCTATAAGGCTTCTTTTCTCCCAATTGCTTTTTTTTCATTATAAATATTCTTGTCAAATTATCCGTCCACTATCGGTCATTTTTATTTTTATTTTCGTTTCTCGCTTAATAAAAGGTAAATGTTCTTACTCGTGCTTATTTATTAACTTCATTAATACAAATTGTCATTTATTATTATGTCGTACTTTATCATAATTAAATGAAGGGATTATTTATTAGTAATTAAGTTTAACATATTGTTATTGGCTTTATTGTTTTTTCGACGCTAAACTTATTGTAAATCAATTTTTGTCTCTTAATCCTGCGGAGAATTTTTGTTAACAAATTTGAAAAGGTTTCATGTTATTTCTTTTTTATTTTATTTTATTTTATTATCCATTTTTTTTTTTTTTTTTTTTTTTTTTTTTTTAATTCCTATGTTTGTGTGTGGTGTGTTGTGTGAGTGTTTGGATATATATATATATTACAAAATTCTTAATAGTTTCATTGTTGATTTGTGTAATTTTCCTAATTACGTCATATTACTAGGATATATATACGTCATAAACTAAACCCTTGGTACACCTTAAATTTCATTCGTTGGGTTCGTAATTTTTTATTTACCTTTTTTTTTTTTTTCGGTGGTTTTTTTAGTATTATTATTAACATTTAAACCCTTACCTTTCTTTTTTTTTTAAAAATTTTTTTTTTATTTTTTCCTAAAAATTTTCTTAGCAAATTTTTTTTATTAGAAAAAAAAAAAAAAAAATACAAAAAGGGTTCGAGAACGCATATTCGTGTTTACACAAACAAAAAACCTTGTAAAACAGACTCTCTTCCCTCTTGAAATTGCAAACTCTCAAAATATTTCGCACATACATAATAGGTAAAACTTGTTACTCTCTTTTTCTTCCCTAATATAAATTATGTTATCCTTTTGAAAAAAGATTATCCAAACCTCTCCCTTAAGTGAAAGGAAACGATAGAGAGAATGAATAATTATTTTTCTCTTGTTTGTCACTACGACTTAACTTAATTTTTTTTTTGCCTACCAAAAAAAAAGGAACAAAAAACCATTTTTCTCTTTAGCTTTCGTCTTTTTATCTTTTTAAACACTTTTACAAAATTTTTTATAAACAAAAGTAAAAAGCACCTCTGTTAATGTTTCTTCTTTCCTATTTGATATCTTCACGTTAGTTTTGTATCGATAAAACATGCCTTCTCCAACGGAACAACAACAGCAACAGCAACAGCAACAAATACCAATCGGAACCTTTACGCTACCTTTTAAAGACGATTTGGATGTGACTCAGGAAACTGTCCAACAGTGCCAACAGATGAACATCGATGATGAAGTAATTACCAGTTTTGAAAACGAAGCACTTGAACAACCACAACCACAACCACAACAACAACTACAACAACAAGAACAAGAGACGACAAGCGTTTCCGCTTTTACTACATCACCATCTCATATAAACGAAGTAGCCATTATCAGTGAAACCTTAATTGCGACTACGTCAGCGGAATCAATCATACCACCTAACGAAGTTAATGTTACGATGTCAAATAATGAAACGCAAACCATGACAAAACCTCCCACCATCAATGGGCAAAATCAAACTAAAAGAAAATATATCAGAAAACCGAATAAAGATGATTCGTCACGCCCACGTGTCATTCGAAGGACGAGAAATACATCAAAGTCTGTGACAAATAATATCCTATCACAACCTGAACAATCAACAATGGCCGCTAGAAAGGCGCCCAGTACTTCCATGTCACCTGCTCAAATTATAGCAAGACGAACAGGTTCTACGACTGCGAATGTCGATCTCAGCCAAATTTCCGTTGTTGGTACAAATGGCCGTCAACTCCCATCAAAGGAAGGAATAAATCAGGAAAACATTGCCGATCGTTTTGTTGAATTTATAATGTACTGCAACCCATCGGCACCAGGAACTCTAGATACGGCTGCGCTCATCCGCTCCTTTAATGCCGTTCCCAAATCTGATGGAAAAGTATTTCAAACTTGGTCCCTTTACCAACTCGTCGGTAAGCATTATGCTGGAGAAATCAGAACATGGACAAAGTTAGCACAAAAATTGGGTGTTGTACGTACACCTGAAGCTAGTCCTCAAAAAATTCAACAATACGCCGTAAGATTGAAGGTTTGTGTACTACAATCATTTTTTATATTTGATAGATTTTTTTTTTCCTTGTAAAATGTTGCTTTCCTTTTAAAGTCCTTACAATTACTGTTAACATTCTCTTTAAAGAAATTACTTTATGCACAACCCCTTTTTTTGAATCCTTTCCTTCTAATGACAAGAAAAAAAACCTGTAAATGTGTTTATCGTTCTAGAATAGTTACACTATCGGTTTTTATGATACATCTTTTTGTTACACTACTTTTTTTTATCGATCAACAAAAAAAAAAACTCGTTTTTATTTTGGTCACACCTACTCAAATCCTCGTGACCACCTACCCCATTATTTAAAATGGATTTTTTATATATTTTATTTTAATATCCACATTTCTTTTTTCCATTTTTTGTTCTAAAAAAAAAGAATTGTGCAAAATATGAATGTAAATCCGTTTATTTTTTTTTTAATTTATTAATTTAGAAATGGATGGCTTCGGTCCATGTAGATGCGTATTTTGATTATCTGTTGTCACGATCCAATGAATATTATCAAATGCCACAAAAAAACCCAATCGAAGCGAGTGATGACGAATCAGACGTAGTCTTGAAATTAATAAAACGTGCTGGAAGTAAACGTCAAAAAAGAAAATATACCCGTAAAAGTACTAACGCTTCTGGCGATGGAACTACAAACGAAGATGCATCTCGGGGTATTGAACTGGATGATGATGTTCACTTTGATGAGAGTGAGGAGATCGATGAAGGTGTTGATAGTAAGCCCAGGATTAAACGTCCAAAACATTCATATTCTGACGATAACGAAGGGTCGGAAGAAGAGGATGATAAAGACCCATGGGCAGAAGGTTACGATGAAGAAAAATCTGAACGCCCCGTGGAAACGACTGGAACGGGTCAGCGTAGAAAAAATGTTGTTCAGGTAGGTTTTGGTCCCCGTTGGGTTAAGGATGATGCGGAGGAAAAAGACGAAAATATCGTTGGGGGTAGATTGGGAATTAATAAAGAAGGCAACCCTGAAAACGATTCAAGCCGTTATTATCGTCAATACCCATCACAGTTTGCATCGAACCTACCACACTTGATCGAACCTAATAACGGTTCAAATATTCCTACACCAAATCCTTCGCCGACATTACCAGACATGAACCTTTCCAGTGGAAATGACGCTGGAATCAAAAGGGTATTGTCTCATTCCGGTGCAACTAGTGGTGCTGTTACTCAAAAATTGCGTTGGCGTAGTATCTCTGTGGGTGGAGGTCCCGTGCCTACCGGTTTCAAATCGTCTGCTGCTGCTGCTGCTCAATCTTATCTAACCACCTCGTCCAATGTACCTTCCTCTTCTCAAAAGGAGCAAAAGAAAAAACAAGACGCGGGTCAAGCAGTCAACGCACCAACAATGGCACGACAAAATTCATGGACAAACTCTGGTGGTTCCAACCCAGCGATGCCAAGCGCCAATAATGTCGCAAACATCCCGAATGAACAACTAAGCACAGGCGAGCAAAACTTCGCTGAAATGTTCTTTCCTACTTCAACCCATTCAAGCGATGATGTAGAAACAATCAAGGTTCTCCAAGAGAAATTGGTACGCGCTGTTGGCATGTTGGAGGACAGCCAACGAAAAATTAAGATGTTAGAGAACCTCGTCCGTAAAAGGGACGAAGATGTAAGACAACGTGTTATACAAGAAATCAAAGATGAAGTAAATGGTGTCTTTGAACAATGGCAGCAACGACAATGATAAGAAAAGATTTGATAGACGTTATTATAAAAATATCCTTAATGTATACAATTAAGAGTGCTATATGTACTTTTATTTATTTTTAATTTTTTTTTTTTTTTTTTGCTGCTTTTATACATTTTGTGATATGAACAATATTTGAAGGTGTTTTGGTGTTATATTGTCTCGCCTTTTTTTTTTTTTTTTTTTTTTTTTTTTTCTTTTCTTTTGCATTTCAAAAATTTCTCTGTAAATTTTGTTTTTCTCTCGTGTAAAAAATTTTGTTTTATTTTATCAAATATCTGCTTGTGGGCAAAAAAAAAAAAAAAAAAAAAAATTATATAAAATAAAAAATATGAAAAAAAAGAGTAAGGACTCTTTTCGGCAATAAATTTTTTGTTTGTTTACCAAATAATTATAAAATACACGTGATGAAAAAAATATCAAAAGTCGTCGTTTATGATTTCTTTATTCTTCATTTTTCAATATTTGCGGAAACACTTTTTACTTTTTTTTTTACCACAAAAAAAAAATAAAAAAGAAATACGCGTACTTTCTTTCGACGCCACACTCTTTTTGATAACTAAATAAAGGGAACACGTAAACCATAGCTTAACCAAGCATGACAGAAAACGAAAATAACACTGGAGCACCGGAATCAAAATATGAAGAGTTCTATTGTTGTTATCTTTTGCGTTCATTAGCACCTAAACATAAACAAACCAGTTATATAGGGTCTACCAATGATCCAAAACGACGGCTACGTCAACATAATGGTGAGATAGCTTTAGGGGCAAAAAAAACCGAAAGTAAAAGACCATGGGAAATGGTTCTTTTTGTTTACGGTTTTCCAAATCATACATCGGCGTTACAATTCGAGTGGAGTTGGCAAAATCCCTCCAAAACGCGTCGATTACATTTAACATCCGATGATGAATTTCGTGAGAATGACGATAGATTATCAACATCGCTTCGTGCTATTTCAAAAATGTTGAAAGACAAATTTTGGTCAAGGTGGCCATTACATTTACATATCATGGTATCACTTAAATTGATTACGTTACAAAATAGGATCATGGCTTCTACGATCCTTGACGTAACGAGTTTACCAAAGAAAATTAGGATCACTCACGGAAAAGTTGAAGAGTTTAATGATTATCATAAAGGATTGATTAGGAATTGTGTGAGGAACGAGTACTCGAAATTTTTGGATCACACGAAAAACAATTTGTTCTGTAATTTATGTTTAGAAAATATTGATGTCAATGATCATAAGAGTTATTTGAATTGTTTAAACATGGAATGTAACGTGTCCTCACACCTTGCATGTCTCGCCAAAAAATTTACCAAATCTGAAGTCATGGAAATGGCAACTTTGCAAAATCCTTATAATGAATTGGAAGAAGAGATCATACCGATTGATGGAAAATGTTGTTCATGTCAAATTACTTTATCATGGGGGGATTTGATTCATGCTATGATGATTAGAGAAAAGTATGTTCAAAACGATCTCGTGATAAAAATATAATTTTCGTTATGGGGTTTTTATTTTGTTTGGTGTATTTATAGATAATGATTTTTTTTTTTAAAAAAAAAAAGAAAAGCAATTTACAGAACAAGAATAAAGAAATCTTTAATGAGCATTTTAGCTATATCTTAATAAAATTGAACAAATATTTATATTATAATTTGATTGACAAATTAAACTCAACGTTAACTATAAATTTAAGACCGTTTTTACCATCATTCTAACCACATCTACATAAAGTTCTCAGTGCAGAATTTGAAATGGACACGTGATAAATTTCGCCTTTTTTATCCACTTTTTTCTTTATTCTTCTGATATAATTAGCTGCTGCATTACGTGCGATTTGTTTGTGTTGATCTTTGGCCAATGTTATTGATAAATAATAAAAAAACATCTCTGCACATTTGAACAAACAAAAGAAAAAAAAAGAATTCGGTGTAACTATTCATTTATTAAAAAGAAGGTAATGAATAAAAGAATGATGCCATGTGACATATTTGATTTAAGATCAAATTTGGTACTTTTTCCGGAATTTATGAACGCCTATATTAAGATCAAATTTGAAATTCGGAGCGTGGAGTACTTTCGCGCCAAATTCTAAATCGTGACAAAAAAAATGAATATATCATTGAAAATACTAATTTATATTTTCAAAAAACAACCAGTCAAAAAATCCGATATGATGTAACACTCCATAGTAATGATTAAACAGTATATGATGTATATGATGTAACATTTCATAGTAAGAAAGTTAAAAAAAAAAACAAATCACGTCAAGAATTATAATAAATAAAGTGTACTCAATCAAAAACATATTTTCTTTTTCACTAAGAATGACACATTTATTTAATGTGTTGAATAATCGTATCCCTTTTTATCAATTTGTTTTTAGTAAACATCAAATTTTTTTTTAATTTTTTAAAACGATAATAAAAAAGATAAAAAAAAAAAAAAATTTCACAAAAAAAAAATTCACAATAAAAAAGAATACCGATTTAATAAAATATCGAATATAAAAAATAATACTATGAAAAACCTGGCATCGTAACCTTTTTGATATCATATAAGAAAATAATGTTCATTTGTATTTTGGTTCACCACTCCATGCATTTCATGGAATTCACAAGGTGAGGAAGAAGAAATAAAAAGCATATCTTTCAACCAGCTTTTCCCTTCATGAGACTTATAAAAAAGTCACAATATGTTAGAAAGGAATTGATTAAGAAATTTGCCTATAGGTCCTTTTCTAAAATAAAACATAAGAAAATAAATGCTATCTTAAGCTTACACGCTTGGTTTCCTTCTTTCGGATTCAAGTCTACTATACAGCAGATAAAGAGCCATTTGATTAGACTCGGGGGTTCCCGTAATAGTAACTAACCTCTCGTTGGTATTACCATGAGGTTCGGCAATTTTGATGTGCGAACCAGAGAGATGCCTAATCTCATTGATTTTACTTCCGCCTTTACCAATAATACATCCCACCATATCATTAGGGATAAAAATCTGTTGAGCCTGAGACCCTGGAGGTGGTTGATGATTAATGGGTCCTGGAGGTCCAGGCATAAATTCACGTCCATAATGTGGAGGACCCGGTGGAAGTCCAACATAGAATGGATTACCAGCTACGGGAGCTGTTTGATGATAGAGAAGTCGTGGTTGAGGTCGGTAAGGAGTGATTCCTGAAGGCCTATCATTTTGATGTTTGGCCAATTCTTCCCCAACATGAAAAACTGCAATATGGATAGAATCCGGTACACCGCTGATAGAAATGGTACGCTCCGTTGATTGTGGAAGCATTTCTTCAGAAGCTAGACATCTGGCTCCGGATTTCTCTTGAATTTCCTTGATTTTGCATCCACCTTTACCTATCACAGGTCCCATCCGAGAATGAGGTACGAGAAGTCTGATTGTAGTGGATTTAGAAGTTGGTGTAGATGGTGTATCCAAATTCTCATCCAAGATTTTACGCGCAACAAGAGCAAAGGCCTTAAAAAATTTCGTTAATTTATTATTTATTTCAAAACAGAAATTATGTGAATAGATTAGGTTGTGGCAAAAAAAATAAATAAATAAATAAATAAATAAATCAATCAAATAAAATCTCCTAAAAAGAATAATGCAAGTTATATAATTTACAGAATTTCATCTTCTAATCAAATATTATTTGTAATAATGAAGTCGTCAAAGCAAATTTGATGTTAGCATGATTTTTTACTAGTATTTTATCCAAAACATACCTTTGCAACAGTGTCCAAAGGACCTGTGACGGTTAAAATTCTTTCGTAGGCGCCTTGTACCATTTCAGATATTGTCACTTTAGCACCAGATCTATCACGAATTTCACTAACATTCTTTCCACCTTTCCCAATAATTACACCAGCTTCTTTAGTTGTTACAAGAGCCCGAAGCGAAATAGTGGCAAGTGTAGATTCTGTTTCAACCTTCTCTTTCTCGGGCGCTGTAGGAGAGCGAACGTTTACCTCCATTATGTCACTAGGCTCTGACGGGGTTGCCGGACGTTCAATAGGTGCTTCATCGTTATAATCTAATTCTGAAGAGTTATCGTCCTCTCCACCAGAAGTATTTAAAGCAGGACGTTTGAAACGTCCTCCTCTTTCGTCAGCACTTAGGTCGTCTTCTTCGTCATCAGACGGAAGTGACCTTTTACGCTCAGAAGGGGAGTGTACAACTTCTTCACCTCGGTCAGACATTCTTGTAGTTGAGGGTTTGGTAATGTTGTAACTAGGGACACTGAAAAAGGAAAAGTGTTTGGGGTGTGAGTGTTAGGAGTGGGCTAATATGACTTGCATTGCAAAGGTACATTTTCAGTGTTTATTTTTTTTTCTCTCGTTGCGTGTTTAAAATGTTTAGGCAAAAAAAAAGGAGACAACAAGTAGGATAGGGACGGTACCAAAAAGCAAATTACTGGAAAAAAGGGATTTCGTGGAGTGGTAGAGATCCGTACAGCTAACTAGATCTTAATAAATCTACTGGCAAGAAGGAGCTCGTTGTGTTGGGTTTGGTTTTTTAGGACTGTAGTATGAGTATAATAGCTTATCTTCCTTAGTTTCTTTGCTGGCTGATATTTTAATATGATTTAAATATATGGGGTATTATTGAAACACCCCGGTTGATTATTAATGAACATCCAATCAGAATAGAAAATAAATCAAAAATGGTTTCAACAAAGAATTGATTACTTGAAAAGATTAAATCTCTTTATCATACGATCAATTAATCAATCGAGGGAAAGACAATTCTTGTTACGACATCCAATCAGAATCCATTACTGGTGTAACTTGATTTAATATATACTGCGAGATTCTTGACGCAACTTCTCTCTTAATCTCTTCTATAACCAAAACATAATGATTTATAATATGTATATATTTGATCGCCATTGTGTGTGTATTTATTATCAAGATTGGCACCGATATCGTAAAAGTGGTGCAGGAAGCGGCGGAGGAGGTGTTAATAGTGCCATTGGAACCACAAGCACAACCACTAGCATGAATGGTCAAGTAGAAGGTGATTCAGGTGGCTCCTCTTCCTCACCTGCTCATAGTTCAGCGGCGAATCATCTCACCAGTCATCACTCTACAACTTCACAACTTACAAGTTTAACAAGCATTTTCTCAGAAGGTCGAATGATCAACATCGAGGAAGAGGCCAAATTAGTTTATGGTGTCGTGTTTTCTTTAAGAAATTTTGTTAAGAAGCTCAGTGGAAGGTAAGCTGTTCAAGGATGAAGATTGAAGGGGTATGATCTTGTGATTTAATCAAGAACAACCTTGATCATTAATACTTGATATTAGATTATTAATTTCTTTCACAAAATTTATTCTTATAGTCAAGACGGTTTTTTAGCATATAAAACATCGAATTATAAGCTTCATTATTATGAGACTCCAACAGGATTGAAATTTGTGATGAATACCGATCCTAGTATAGAATCTCTTCGACAAATATTAAGACAGATTTACACAAACTTTTATGTAGAATATGTGGTAAAAAATCCCTTGTCACCTACGGAGCATCTCGGAGGTGAAGGTGTTAATAATGAATATTTTAAGACAGCAGTTGACAAATTTGTAAAAACTTTACCTGCATATGAATCTTAGAAATAACAAAATATTATCTTTTTTTATATATATATATATATATATCTCTTTAATGTTGTAATCTTGAAAAAAAAAAGAGCAGTAAGTAGTAATATTTTATATTTTGCTTTATAATATTAGAAATTTTAGATTAGGTTAGCGAGAATCATGATTAATTTATATAATGCATTAAACTAAAAATCATCCAACTGCAATAATGTAATAATAATAAAACTAAAATAATTTTTTTAAGTATCAACCAATTAGATTTTTCGGATAATAATATCGTGTAACCTAAAATATATCAAAGTTAGCTGCGCACTAAATTTTTTTCACTTTTGTCCTTTAAAATATGTCCATTTCTACCATTTCAACAGAATCCATTGCTACAAAATCCTTATCAACGAATGATTCCGAGAAGAAATCTAGTCCTGTTTATAATATAGGGCAAAAGGTTGAATGTCTGGTAGTAGATTCTGGGCCTTTAATCAAAGGAACGAATGTTCGTTCATTTGCTGAAAAACTTTATACTGTTCCTGAGGTCATATCCGAAATTCGAGATAAACATTCTCGTGATTTTTTGAATCAAATCTCATTCGATATTCAAGTTAAAGTACCATCAGATGAAGCATTGAAAGAGGGCAGGTTTAAAATTACTTAAAAAAGAATTCAAGAATTCCAGAATTCAATCATTCTTAAGATTTATTAATTTTTTTTACATTTATTTATTTTATTCTTTTTTTATTTTTATTTTTTAAAAATTATTTATAGTCGTTAATTTTTCAAAAAAAACCGGAGATTTTACTAGTTTGTCTGCTGTTGATTTGAGGGTTTTGGCCTTAACCTATATGCTTGAGGTTGAAGCCAATGGCACTGAGCGGTTAAGAAAAGAACCCGTAAAAGTAAATATCGTAAAAAATTTTGATAAAATTTATTAGTAAAGTTACCGTTAAAAAATATATATATTAATTTGAATTATTTATTGAATGAATTAAAAAAAAAAATCTTTTTAAGTCTCGTATGCAATTTGGTGGTTATAATAAAAATTCCATCAAAGATTCTAAAATGAAATCCGAAGAAATACGTGTAAATATCGATCAGCAGCAAATTGATGAATCAAATTTAGTGTCAAATCTAGAACAATTACAACTCCAAAGCAACATAGCTGAGGTACCTAGTCCAGAAAGAGACGAGAGTGATTTGATTATGGGAGTTGATGAATTAACTTTAGAAAGTTCAATGAGTGACACCGAAAGGAATAATACGAATTGTACTAAAATAAATGATTCAGACCAAACATCTATAATTCAAAAAACGAACGAGACATTGGAAGTTCGAGGTCGTCAAGTTGATTATGATGACGATGATATTGGGTGGATCACCCCGGATAACATTGATAAATATCAAGCAAAAGAACAAAAGTTTACTATCAATTTAAAAAAAGATAATGAAAACATGAAAATTGCTTGTATGACGACGGATTATTCTATGCAAGTATGTAAAATTTAACGCTTTATAATTTAAATGAACTGATTCTTAAGTTCCGAAAAATATAATATTCTTTTTTTCTTATATATCACAAGAATATTTTATTACAAATGAGATTAAATTTGATATCGGTTGACGGAAAGAGGATCAGAAAGGTGAAGAACTGGGTTCTTCGATGTCACGCGTGCTACAAGTAAGTATCTACATTTTTGATGTTGTACCGTTTTGGTTTTGCTTGTTAGATATTGAATTCTACTGAACTTTTTTTCCTTAGGGTAACTACAAATATGGAGAAACAATTTTGTCCAAAATGTGGAAATGCAACTTTAATTCGTACATCAACAAGTACGGACGCGAATGGTAACGTGACTTATTACTTGAAAAAGAACTTTCAATATAATTTACGCGGAAGCAAGGTGAATTTCCTTTAAAGATTGTTATCTCTTTATATATAGAGAAACTAATTAAATAATTATTTTATTTCATTTAAAGTATTCAATACCGGATCCAAAAAGTGGTCGTCACGCCAATAATCTTATTCTTCGTGAAGATCAAAAAGAATATCAAAAGGCGTTAAAAAATCAAAGAAGACAAAAAGAAATTGATATATTTGATCCTGATTATATTCCAAGACTTTTAATCGGATCAAACCTTTCAAAATCTAATACACCAGTTATTGGTTATGGTCGTAGAAACCCAAATGAAGCTAGACGAGGAAAAAACAAGGGGAGAAAAAAGTGATAAAAAAATAAATCATTTACGTAAAGTATTTCATTATAAATTAAATCAACAAATCAAATAAAAATGATTATATATTATTATTGACAATAGACGATGATAATGAATAATGAGTTAGGAAAAATAAAACCACCGAGATTTAAATATTGTATATCGTAAATCAGTACAGAGTTTTACAATGTCGTCGCTTCTTGAAATTAAACCGATTTCTGGATAATGTCCAGAATTCGAGACGAAATGTGAAAGATTTTGGGACGCTGCAACAATGGTTTATTATTAAGCGATGAATTACTTTTGTTGACTTTTATAAAAGATGAATTATTTATTTATCGAAAGGCAAATGATCCAGATTCATAAAACATTTAATAATCAAATAAACTTTTACTTTGTTTAATCTCCGAAGCCAGATTGGAAAATGCCTATTATAGAATCAATTAATCGATTCTCAAGTTCGATTTCGAATCGGAACATAACCAAAATTAAAAAAATTTAAAACATCTAAAAAAAAAATTTTTATGATTTAAGATTTTAATTCAGCTTATGCTTTAATAACAGCTAATTTTAACACCATTAAGAGAATATTGGAACCTATCCTTTATTTGTGTAGCAATTATTTTTAAAAGAAAATTTCATTGCTTATATGTTTTTATCAAATTTTCCAGTCTTGTACGTAATAATTCTTTTTTATTTTATTCTTTATAGTTTCTTTACCATTTGGGTTGGAAAGACCATAGGTTAAGTTTTTTTTTATGCCTTTTTGATCTTTTAATTTTTTTTTTCTTGAAAATGAATGGTTAAAACTTTTACTTTGAAAGTGGTTATGATAGATAGTTTCAATTATAAATTTGATTTTTTATTATTAATTTGTTTTAGTAGAATCAATTCGAATTTCTACTCCTTTGTATAGAATTATACTGCTTTATATAATATCATGCAAATAAAGAAATGGTTCTTATTAGAGCTCTAAACAGATTGGGTAACTAACTACCTTGACAGGTTGAATTTAAATTAATTAAATATACAATTGACTTGAGACCTATATATCAAGATCAGTTCAAGTTATTTTGGTTTCAACTGATTTGGATTTGATTCGATCTGTCAGATCTGAATCAGATTCAAATTTAGATTCAGATTCAATCCATCAGATTTGGATTTGAATCCAGATTTAATTTTTCAGATTTGAAATAAAAAGTTCATTTTGAAAGTCAATGGTAGCAATTATTATTAAAAAAAATAAAAACTATATTTTTTTAATAATAAGTTTGTTCTGAAAGTCAGAGATGTACTGTAACATTTATTATTTACTAGAGAATGAGAACCATTGCTAAGTCTAGCGCTTGTGTAATGAAAATAACCAATTATGTATTAATTCAACTTTTGAGCAAGCATAAATCAGGATACCATACGTCTTAACATATATAGTCTTATACTTCACTCCAGACTATAAAAATAAAAATTTAAAATAAAAACATTTTATTTTTTTAATAATGGTAAATTTTTGTTAAAAAATAATTCTTTTATTGATTTTTAATAATAAAATACCATTTTAAATATTAAAAATAAATTTTTGTTAAAAAAAAATTGTTATTTTTTAATAATAAATGTTTTATTGAATATTAAAAGTAGCTTTTTATTAAAAAAAACAATGATTTATTATTATATATGTCATGGTAATTATTTTACCAAAAACGTAATACAGTCAACCCTTGATATAACGAATTTTATGTCCTGAACTTCAACTTCGCTATAGAGCTATAGTGAATTTTT